TGGCCCCAGGGAGGTCCACCTGTGAGCGTGATGAAAATGCAAATCACACACCTGACCCAGGATGGGGGATTCCACCAGGGCGGGATGGAGCCAGGATTGTACTGCCAATGCAGAGGGGCTTCGTGCCCAGGTTCACGCTTCTAGGACCTCATGACTCCAGAGGCCATCGCCCTGGAGGCCCCTGGGGTGGACGGCTCTCCCTCAGTGGGTCAGGGCTAGACGATGTTTGCTGTGGGGAGGAGGGGGTGTCGGCGCAGGAGCACGTGTAAGAGTCCTGGAGGGTGGGCGTGGGAAACCAATCGGGGAAGACATCTGGATCTCTTTGTAGGGGCCCTTGGCAGCTGGGCTGGATGAGAGCCCGTGCCACCTGTGGGGGAGGATGTGGTGAGTGCCACAGGGCCCCATTCAGGAAGAAAGACGCGCTCCCCAGGGGCTCGCTCCACCTGAGTGGAGGCTGGGCATGCACAGGCCCCCATTCGGGGCCCCTGGTTAACGCCTCATCTAAGGCAAGCCCTCTGTGTTGGTTGGGGACACTGAGGCCACCCCGTTTGGTCTCCTGGCCCAGGTCTCCTCTGTCGAGGTGGATGCCGTGCACAAGCACTACCTGACCCTCCTGTCCTACGTGGGCTGCGTCATCTCCGCCCTGGCCTGCGTGCTCACCATCACCGCCTACCTCTGTTCCAGGTAGGGCCTGGATGGGCGGGGCACTTTTACTTCCCTGGCACACTCCGTCCAACTCCGGGGAGGTATCATGCGTCCACTTCACAGAGGAGGAAACCGAGGGTCTGGGGCAGCGGAGAGACCAGCCAAGGTGGTGCAGCTCACTGGAAGCAGGCTGCTGGGGTCTGCCACTTTTCAGTGCCTCCTGGAAGCGTCCATCTGCAGATGGAGGTCCAGGATGGGGGAAAGGCAAGCCAGCAGCGCCCCGGACCACTTAGAATGGAGTGTCTGGGTTTGGAGGCCTGGACTTGCAGGCAGATGCGAAACACAGCACAGATTCTACACAACCACCCACCATCCAGTCTTCCTCTCCTCCAAGCTCATGAGTCTAACTGACCCTTACAACATATCAGGGCTCGGGCTCTATCTCCTGCCTGGCTGAAATTCCACCATGCCGAGCCGACAGATAGTTGATTAACACGTGATTTTGTTTATTGTACGTGACGTGACATGATCTATATTGTACTCTCGGGATAAAGAAAGCTAGAGAAAAGGTTATTGAGGAAAATCAGAAGAGAAAACGCATGGGGCTCCCTGGAGTGCATTTGCCAGTACTGCGTGAGTAGGGAGACTGCTTGCCCTCGCCCTGAGCAGGCTGGGAAGGAGGATGGCGGCCTGGCCGGAGCAGAGGGGAGTCAGGGAAGCAGCAGCAGAGCAGGCACACGACTTCATGGAAATACACCGTCATTTCTGTTGGACTCTTTGCCCTTGTTGAAATAGGCTGTGTGTGGTTCCCTTCAGCGCCCCCCACCCCCACCTGCGTTGGTTTCAGGGCCCCCATCAGCCCAGGTGGGACCGCCAGTGTGTTTATTGAGAGACATCTGTGTTTAGGAGGGTATTGTTGACTTCGTTGTTGGGATGGGCTGTGTAATACATGTATAGCACGTTACCTTAAAAAAAAGATCCCTCTAGATTCCTGACCCCTCAAACCTAAACAGTGGTTTGAGGGTTTAAAAAAAAGGGGGTGGGGAGAGAGAGAGGAAACGTAAAATGGAAAGGGACTTGGGGCCTTTAGTGACGAACAAGTTCACTTCAGAAAAGGCAGAGAGGAAACCTCTGTAGGTCAGTAGCTCTGTGCAGCCCCAGCCCCGGGCTGTGTGTGTCTCCCTCCAGCCTCCCTCACTTGGCCTGCCTCAGGCAGCAGGGAGCTGAGCCTGTGGATGCTGGGCACACAGTAGGTGCACAGGGCCAGGTGGGGCCAGGCTGGCTGTCACCACAAGAGTAGGAGTGTGTGTGAGAGAGA